TCTTGTCATTTTCTATTTTTATTTTGTTTTGTGTTTTATCTTGGTGCTTGTAAACTGATTATATTAGATAGTTTTAACCCTGGTGTTCAGGCTTTCCTAGGTGATGTCTGTTCCTCAAGGATGTCTTTTAGATATATTTGTTTTTCTGTCTAGTTCAAGAACCTATCTTCCTAATATGTTAAGAATTTAGAGTTAGTATCTTTTGGACACATTTTTTGGTGCTGGATTATCTTGGTACTTATGACCCTTTGCAATGTCACTGTTGTCATAAAGGGGAAAAACTGATTATAACAAGGATGTTGTCCTGGTTAAACAAGTACAGTTAGTAAAAGCAATAGACTCAAGCACAGCCTGGCTACTGACAAACTGTAGAAATTATTGGCCTGATGTCTTTAACCATAGGAGAAAGTTCTATAGTATAATCCAAATTGGAATTTGTAAGCCACTTTTTTTCCACTTAGTAGAGTGACTTTATCCTGTTGTGGGAGATTCCCCTCAAATTTAAAGACTGCATGCAAAAGTGGGCATCTGCAATGAATAAATACCCACTTTTCAGATGAAGAAATTAAAATGGCCAATAAACATATGACAAATTGTTTAACACCACTTGTCCTTTGGAAGATGCAAAGTAAAACAGTACTGAGATGTTTTCTCACTCCAGAAATAATAACTATTATCAAGAAATCAACCAATAAGAAAGGCAGAACAAACCCTGATCCATTGTTTCTGGGAATGTAGACTGTTGCAATGACTGGGGAAATCATTGTGGTGTTTCCTGAGAAAACTAGGACTACAGGTTCCATTTGACCTAGATGTTTCCCTTCTTTGTATCATTCCAAAAGAATTAAAAGCATTGTACTACCATGATATATGCACATCCATGTTTATAGTACCACAGTTTGTTTCAGTTAAATAATTCAAATTCCCAACAACTGAGAATGAAAAAAAAAAAAAGATTTTTAATAATGGAGTGCTACTCAGTGATAAAGAAAGATAAACTTGAAAAATTTACACCTAAGTGAATGGACCTCGAGACTGTGTACAGATAAGTGAAATTCATTGGACACGTGTGTGTAAATATCACATTGTCTCTCTGATATGAGAACCTGAAAGTATGAATGAAAACAAAAATGTAGACTAGATATTGTGATATAGGAAGAAACTATTAAAAAATAAAGGGGAACTAGGGAGGACTGAGGGAAAAGAAAAGAAAGACAAAGAAAAAACCATTAGAAAAAAGATAAAATGGAAACAAAGCTTTATAAATAAGGAGAGGAAGGAGGGTTGAATGGAGTGGAGGAGAAAGGGGAAACTAGGGGAACACGGGAAAATTCCGTATATTGAATGTGATAAGTACATATATCTAAGATGTACCAGTACACTTTAAAAAGTAAATTGTTGTGATGAATATTTGGAGACAGAGTCTGAACAATAAAGCAGTGAAAGGATCTTTTGTGGGCCAAGAGACTTGCCTTGTATCTGATATGTAATAGAAACATATAAAATAAAATAAATAGGTTGATTTATTTGTACAGTGAGCCCAGGAAGAGAAACGTAGTTGGAATACTGTTGTTCTCTGAAGACTCTAGATTGAATTATGTCTTTCTTACTTGTTTTTTTTTTTAACCCCAGCACAAGACCAGAACTGAAGTGGAAATAGAGTAAATATTTTTTGATGATAAAGTTAAGAAAAAGAGAGATAGACCAAAATGATGGTTGGTGAAAAGGAACAACCTCATACTGCAAAAGTCAACTAAATTTCGTGCAAGCCTAGAGAGAGTATGGAGTTTTGACAAACCACACACAATGATAGATTTTGAGCTTTGGAACTGAAAATCAAAAAAAAAACCAAACATAAGCGCTAAATAAGTGAGTGAAATACCTGCAGAAAAGGGTGAGGAGTAAAACACATTTCTGTGGCTGGAATGCTCCCAAAGGCTACAGGTATCAACAGAATAGCATCAGGCAAGAGTTTTGTGGGGACAGGTTGTGAAGGGGTCCCCTGTTTCATGCACCCATTCAGGCTCCCGGATTGAGAAGCTGCTGCCTCCAGTATGTGGCTCCGGGATCACACTGAGTATCCAGGAGAGGAGGGAAAAATCAAAGGCAGCACCGTGTAGGCAGTTTGTTTTATATTTCACCTAGAATATAGCCCCATGCCACCTCTAGGTGACATCGGCCAGCAGATATGTCTAGCCAAACCTGAATGGATACTTGGAAGTGTTTTTGTTAGCAGTTCCTCCCTGTCTGTAATAGTGGCTAATGTGGATAGCAGATTTCCCTACGAGAAATGGGAGCTTTTCATTCTGTAATTAACAGACATGAGTGGGAACTCCAGGCCATAACAAGAAATAAAGAACACTGGTAAAGGTAACTATATAGGTAAATATAAAAGCCACTTTTATCATAATTTTAATTTTAACTACTCTTTTATTCCTGTATAACTTAAAGGAAAAGTATATAAAGAAATGGAAATCAATGCTAATGAATGCACAATATATAAAGGCATTGTCTGTGATTCTGATGATACAAAGGGGAAGGAAGAAGATGTAGAGAAACAATGTTTTTACACTATTAAATCTGGGTTGTTTATACACGGCTCACACACTACTGAATTTGAGTTCTTACAAGTTAATATGCTAATGAAATCACAGATAAAATAGTTTTAAAATACAAAACGAAGAAAATAAAAATGGTGTATATAAAAATTAACCAAATACAAGATGGACAAAAATAAAATGATTTTTCACAATGAGTTATTTTAGATACAAAGGCAAAGAATAAATCAAAGTATTTCAAGCAAATTATAAGAGTAAGTTGGGGTAGTTATGCTGTTATCAGACAAAACAGACATATTTTGCTAAAAGTTACAATGTAGTTACAACAGCAATTAGCAACAAATATACACCTAATAATGAAGCTCTTGAATATAAAGCACAGATTGACAAAACTAAAGGCAGAAATACACGATATCACAATAATACTTAGAGACTTCAGTATCCCACTTTCTATAATAGATTGAAAAAACAAAAAAATTACAAAAAACAAAGAAATGGAAGACTTAGCAACACAGACTAAATATGTCCATCATATATAGAATAATTCACCAACAATAGCAGAATACATATTTCTCTCAATAGATATCAAATGTGTAGCACATATTACTCCATAAAATAAGTATACATTATATACAAATATAATGAGGTATAACTAAAACCTAACATAAAGAAAATTGAAAAATATAAAAGTATTATTTTTAAATGACAATAGGTCCAAAAAGTTATAGAATTAGAAAAACCCTACAAATGAATGACAGCAAAAGTACAAAACAGCATCATATATTCTAGATGAAATTGAAAATTAGACTAAACCTGCAGTAAGAGATTTAATCAGTGATCACAAACCTCCCAGGTTCTGAAACTCTCAGGACTGGGTGGCTTCAGCAGAGAACACTGCTAAGTGTGTAAAAAAGAAGTGACAGCAATGTTCCTCCCACCTTTCCATAAAGTAAAAGAAGATGAAATAAATCTTACTTCATTTTCTAATACCAAAAGTATTCTCATGTAGAAATTAGGCAAAGGTACTGTAAGAAGCTGCAGGCCATCGTCCTTTATAAATACAGGTGTAAAATCTTCAATAGAAAAACAAGCTGAATTCAGCAGAATATTAAAAGAATGATACATTATTACCAAGTTGAATTTATCTTAGTAAGAGTGTTTTAATATATGAAATCAATCAACAATATACCACATTAGTATAATGAAGGGAAATTCTTATGTGACACACAAATTTTAAAAAAATACAAAATACCAACACTTTTTCATCATAAAAATAATCAAAGTACTTAGAATAAATAGGAACGTTTTCAATATGATAAAGGCTATAGGAAAAATCCAAAATTAAACTCAAAGGTGAAAGATTGAAAGCTTTCCCCCTAGAATAAGGAATGAGACAAGGAGTCCACTTTAACTACTCCAGTACTATTTTGCAGTAATGGAAGTTCAAACCAAAATAACTATTCAAGAAAAAAGAGGTACTCAATTGGAAAAGAATCAGTCAGTAAATGCTAAAGAACCAATACCAAAAACAAAAAGAAAGAAAATGCCAGAACAACCTTGTACTCTGTTTTTACATCATGTGCTATGTCTATCCTTGGTTTTGACTGACAGCTTTGTTTTGTCATATTTGGTTTTATTCTCTGCAAAAAAAGTAATAAGAACTATGGTAGTAATAAAACCCCAAATGTGTAAATTTTGTTGTAAAAAAGAGAGAAAAAAAAGTGCTCTAAAGGATACAACTGCAAGTGTGTTTAGGGGTGTTGAATAGCTGACCATATGTTTTTGGTTGGATCATTGAACACGACTGTTTGCAGTCTCACTGTTTGAATGTCCACTTTGTATGCCTTGATCCTGTGACTTGAGCAACTATTTCTAAGATGATAATGTGTAATCTATTAACTGACTTCTTACTGTCTTTTTTTGTAGTTCTGTATTACTTGTACCCTTACACCGCTTTGTTTTGTTTTGTTTTTCCTCTTTTTCCTTTTAAATAAAATTTTTAAAAAAGAAAGAAAATGCCAGAACAAATAAACATTTTCAGCAGTTTCTGGATATTAAACCAACACACAACGTATTTAGTTCTATTTCTATACACAAAAATCTGAAAAGGAAAATTTTTAAAAATTACATTTACAGTAGTAAAGAGAAATGCTTAAAGAAAATATTTAGATAAAGAGACATATAATGTTCATTGAAAATTGTAAATAATTGCTGAAAAACATTAAAAAGATACAAATACATGGAAAATATCCCATGTTTATGAAATCTGATTTATGAATTAGAATCAGAAATTAAGATTCAATTTAAAGACCCATTAGACCATTGAAATAGAAAAGGACCCAAAATCACACCTATGCAGCTGTAACAATCCTGATTCTCAAAAATAGTGCCAAAATTGTATACTAGAGAAAGACAATCTCTTTTAAAAATGATGATACTTACAAAACTGGATATTCACATGTAAAAGACTGAAAGTAATCTGTCCCACCCTGTAAAAGAAACAGTTCAAAATAGATAAAACTTGAAACCTTGAAACTACTAGGAAAAAAAACACAGGGAAAACACTCAAGGACATAAACATTTTGAACACTTTGCATGTAAACATTTTAGAAACAATTTGAACTGCCTGAACAGGATTCTATTAACCCTCGAAATAACAGGAAGAACTGATAAACGGAATTGCATCAAATTGAAAAGCTCCTGCACAGTAGAGGAAACTGAACAGAGTGAAGGCACAGCCTGTGGAATACGAGAAAGGTCTGTTGGAGATGGATGATGAAAATGCTCTGTAAATAGATAATAGTGCTACTACATGACATTATCAATGTACACAATGTCTGTGAATTGAACACTGAAATATGTACATTTTACAAACATTTTAAAAAGCCATACAAAATACAAATTTATTTTTAATTATTTAACACCATAACAAGTTTACTTGCAAAATTGTTGTAAAGTTTTCAATCCTTATTTATTATAAAACAGTTTGGTAGCCATTGCTGATTTCCTATTATCTTTTTTTGAGTCTTGTATCACTTTCACTGTTTTGTTTTGATTAACTCTATTCTGTTTTATTCTCTTTAAAATAAAACAATAAGAAACAACTGCCCCCCAAATACACTGATTTGCATATATAGTTCAAGACCAGCATAATTTGATGGATTATTTTAGATAGCACAAATCTGGAACAAAATTATTTCACCTCAATAAACCTCTGCTTCTTCATATAAATGCAAGGTAATTATACTGTCTCCTCTGCTTTTCGTGAAACTAGTTAGTGCATGACATACCACAGACAATAATCAGTAGGTCTTATTTGATGATATTTGTACTTACATGTTGTATTCTAAATTTGAATTTGATGTAATTCTTAGATTAAGTTTTACATGATTTGTAAGCTCAAGAACTCCTTTGGTCATTTGTTTTATTGCATTTCTGCATTTTAGTCCTCATTAACATATCCTATACTGCATATTTATTTATATTTACAGTTGTTCACTGGTATCTAGAGGAAAATTTTTATATCCTCCACATATTCCAAAATTATGTTCTCTGATTCTACATATTCTCATCTGTTGTATAAAATGGCATGATATCTGCTTAAAACCTACTCATATCCTCCAATGTATCTCCAATCATTTCTGAATTACTTTTAACACTAAACAACATAAATGCTTATTGTACTGTATTGTCTAGAGAAAAAAAATCCATGGATATTCATAAAGTCAAATTTTTTACAAGCTTTTTAACAACTGTAATCCACAGTTGATTGAATTCGCCGATACAGACATTGTAGATACGCAGGAAGGGCTGAGTAAGTATGATTCGTGTTTATCAAAAGCAGAGATTGCCCTGCTTGCGCTAAATCCTCAGTTGTCAGCAGAGTCCCTTCCATTGGGTAGCTCTTGATTTGCACTTATTAAGCAGTTTATGGGCCATAGTTCTTCATCTGCACTCACAATGCTCAGTACAATCTTCTACTCGGAAGAAGCCCAAAATAAGTGTGGCTAATCCAATTGTAGCCTCAGTGTGGGGTGGTTATGTTTCTACAGCCTTGTGGTATGTGAACTGCGGCATTAAAGAGCAGTCAGTCAGAGTGTGAGTCATCCGTGAAAAATGCCTGAGAGCGTACTAGAGCCAAGATCTCTGTGTTCTCATCGCTAAATAACAGAACACTGACATCTCCGCTCCCGCCACACTGATGAAGTGTGTCACAGCCTTCAGTGTGAATTCTGCAGACTCCTACAGACCACAGAGGCCAAACCACCCAATGCCTCTATGAGGTCTGGAAGTTTCCCTTCATGAATGCTGGAGCATGACTCACAAAAAGTGCAGACTTTTCTTCTTTTTTTAGTCTATGTCCTCTATCATTCCAAACTTGTCTCATCAAAACAAAACAAAACACAACAAATGTAACAACAGTAAGTCATTTACAGAGCCTTTTGCCTGGAAAACCCATTCCAGGGAATTTTGATGGCACAGAGGGGATAATAAACCCAACAAAATGAATTTGATACAAATATGGAATATACCAAGACTGGAAATCCATGAAATGAAACAGCAAACTAAGTGTACTTAAAACTTACATTGGTAGTCCCTAAAACAAATCAGTATAACTTTTCCTTTAATACTTGGATGGGAGAAAGGGAAGATGAGATACCACTTTGGAATTTTTAAAACACTCAGGAAACAGAAGGAAAACAAATTTCCTCTTCAACATTTAAACAGGCATGTACCATTTACATATAAATGATAAAGCAGTTCAGCAGGTTTCCAATAGCATGTTTGAGCACATAGCACGGTTTCTAAAAATATACACAGCATGAAAACACAGACCAAGAAACTGGTATTACCAGGCTCTGTCCCTTTTTTTTGTACTGGGGACTGAACTCAGGAACTCATGCTTACCAGGCAAGCGCTTGAGCCACTGAGCTAAGTCCCTGGCAGGCTCTGCCTTTACCGTCCATAATTCCCATAACAACCCCTTCATACCAGTTAATCTCTCATGCAGTCTCAAGAAAACTCATCCAAACTGTGCACACTACCGGATAAAGAAGTTTGTCAGTCGTGTGCCTCAACCAGCATATCTGAACTGTATTATTCTGCAGCTTTCTTCAAATTGTGCTGAAGACTGGACTTAGGAACCAGGAGATCTTTTTCAAAATGGTAGGGGACGCCAGATACTGAAGCAGGGAGCAGGAGAAAGAAGGGGAGGAGGAATGTGATATAAAGGAGCTTTTGCAGATGGGGAGGGACTGAACAGTTGGGAGGAGCAGGGAGAAAGAGGAAGGGTAGGAGATGAAAATTAAACACACAGAAAAAAGAATTAAAATGTGTTGCTTACACGTACCAACTCCCTGGGATAATCATAATCATTTTTCAGTACAAAAATGGGGCGGAAGTCTCTATATATAGTTTAGCTGAAAATATTACTATAGTTGCTTTATTCTGCTGATTTCAAAGACCAATATAAAAAGAAAGGCAGTACCATTTTCTTTCTCACTTTTTTTCACTTGTTCCCACAGACTTTTAGAATTTACTCATAACTGAATTTCTTATGTCATTATTCTAGATACTCATTGCAGAGATCATTAAATATAAAATGAAAACATCTTGAAAAATGAAAATATTGACCCAGTGTTCTGAAGAATATGCCTGTTTTCAAAGCTTGATTAGATCAACCAACTATATTAGAAGTATGGATGGTGCATAGAATGTTAAAGATATCAGCTTTTAAGCATTTGCTTTAGAAAGGTAAAGAAAACATCCTAAAATCTATCTGCTGAGTTTCTTATTTAGTTCCACATGAATAAATCAATAAAGTGTTAGAAACATGTAGGAGAAACTATACAAGTAGGCCTAGTCAATGAAAGCTACAGTGCTGATTTTCAGGGCACACAACAATCAGATTCATTTCAGCTACTAACTGAGTGTTACACCACAGCTGTGCCCACCGTACCCTTGCCCTCCAGTGGCCCCAATACCTGGGACCCGCAAACCACGGAGAAGCCCAAGGCAACCTTGCCCCAGCATGGCCAACTGCTGCCCTAGCATCCCGTTCTCTGCATGTATTTGCCTCATAAAAGCACCAGATTAACTATTTCTTCTGTTCTGTATTTTCATATGCTTTGACAACTTCAAAGTCCTGCTGGTTGGGAAGACACTTCCCCTGGGACTGTTCAGTTCCTAGAGACAGAAGAGGACTTGGTCCTGAACACATAACTTTCGTGAGCAAATCACTGGTGTCAGACTCCACCCAGCACTTTAGCCAACTTTCACATACCACAGCTGAATTTCTCCTGACCTAAGTCAGACCAGAACCAGGCAGCAGGTGCCAGCGTCCATCAGAGACTGCTGAACACTTCAGAGCTCACCAAATCTAGTCGGACTTTTAAATCCTAAGCGCATCCTCTGCCCTGCCTTGCCATTCCTGTAGAAACCCAATGAAGGTTCTGGTCTAGACATTCCCTGTCTTTTACTCTGTCCTGATCAAACCTTTCTCCTCTCGGTGGTCCTGAATGGTGTAATGTGTCTTTTTGTCAGGTGGAAATGTAAGAAATTAATTCTTATTTCATTGGCACTGACTGCCTAATGGCATGACCCGGCTTCCTCCGTAAATTAAAATCCTGTAAACGAGCCAAGAGTCAGATGGGATGTACATGCAAACACGTTACTCCTCTGGTCTCTCACTTCAGCATTTCATCATGAGCCAAGCCACATTTTAAAATTAATTAGAAAAGGATAAATGTACGCCCAGATCCGTAAAGGAAAACAAATTGAGCCTAATAGCTTTGCTTTACTTTTGTCTTCCAAAAGAACTTGAATAGCCAACAACTGTTTTTCAAGAATCTTTCCCTAAAACATCTCTGAATTGTCAGATAAAACGACTTTCAAAGTGAAAACCTACAGCTGCTTAGTGAAATGCTTACCCTAGCTGGCTGTCTGGGATGATTCTTTGGAGGGTGACTTCCATCCGCTTCCTGATTAGCATGCAGCCCGGACCTGACTGCACTGCTCCTCTCCTAAAGTCAGAGGACGGCTTCCTAGAGCTGAGCTTCTAAATCCCTCACAGGCTCCTTGGACTTTTGTGGAGGACATAGCAGGCCCCCTTGTGGTAGCCTCAATCTACTGTAATTCAGAATGGAGAGCTATTCTTTTCCTAACAGTGTTCTTACGGCAGCATTACTTAATCTTCAATGAGCAACTGAGTCTTCTGGGGTGGTTTCTAAAATGCTGACGTCCAGTCCCGACTCCAACGTGGGATATTTAGTTGGTTGAAAGTTCAAACACTCATTCCTCTGCATGGTTCTAAAGTTCAACTAGAGTTGAAAACAATGTAGTCATGTTTTCCGTCTCTGGTCCTGAGACTCTCCATGAGCACCATGAAACTGAGAACTCTGTCCCATTTAGCAAGACAGATTTTGCAAGCACACATGGATCTATTAGAAAAAATATTTATAGGAGGCAAAAAAAGAAAGAGAGAAAGAAAGAAAAAGAAAAAGCATTTAGGTTCATAAAAAGGGCATGGGAGCAGCATTAGCAATGCTGGTCCACAGCTACTATTTAGCTGCAGAGAGACCTTGAGTAAGCTGCTGCCAGCATACATCTACACAAGACTCATTCATTAGAATTTAGTCTGTGGAGCTCACAAATCATCAGCCTTCAGAATAAGTGACATTGGAAATGCAAAGAAAATACCCATGGGGCTATATTAGGTAAAGGAAATCATTTTTACTGGCCAAGTAAAGTTTAATGCCACTAAAATTCTTTAATTTGCTTAGAATTAGAGAAATGGACTTGGAAAAATACAATAAGGTTCATTGAGAAAAGGCACAGTGTGCAACTGCAGCTCCATTTACTCACAATTCTTTCACCCTTTGTACTTGCTTTTCCCTAGATTTTTGAGCTGGAAAAAAACTATTTTGAGAAAATTGTGGTATGATAATCACAAAGAAAAGTTTCCTTATTTTTACTTCAGATCAAATATATTTGAAGTGCTCTGGAATTTTTCTTTAATTTTTTTTCTTGATACAAAAGAACCTGACTCTTTAGATGGTAGTAGTTTTATAATTATCTTGTAGCTATGTTATTATGAAGTTATCTTCAGTAGAAGTGTGTCTGATGCACTCTTGTGCAATATGAGAAAGATTTACTTCAACCAGGCCCCCCAGAGGTGCTACAAATCAAAGAATATTTCAGGGCGATATTTCAACATGGAGTTTCTCATTCTATATAGAGAGTGTGATATATGGTTTGGATCCAAAATTTCCTTCCAGAGACCATGTGCTAGAGATTTGGTTGCAAGGTGACAGGCTTTTGAAAGGTCACTGAGTTATGAAGTGTCTCTGTTTGTCTCTCTGTCTCTCTGTCTCTGTCTTGCTCTGTCTCTGTCTCTCTCTGTCTCTCTGTCTCTGTCTCTCTCTCTCTGTCTCTCCCTGTCTCTCTCTGTCTCCATCTCTCTGTCTCTCTCTGGCTCTGTCTCTCTCTGTCTCTGTCTCTGTCTCTCTCTGTCTCCGTCTCTCCCTGGCTCTGTCTCTCTCTGGCTCTGTCTCTCTCTGTCTCTCTGTCTGTCTCTGTCTCTGTCTCACTCTGTCTCTCCCTGTCTCTCTCTGTCTCCATCTCTCTGTCTCTCTCTGGCTCTGTCTCTCTGGCTCCATCCCTCTCTGTCTCTGTCTCTGTCTCTGTCTCTCTGTCTCTGTCTATCTTTCTCTGTCTCTGTCTCTCTGTCTCTCTCTCTGTCTCTGTCTGTACACACACAATATGCACACACACACACACCTCGTCTTCCTGGCTTCCAGGCAGTAACAATCCCTGCTCCACTGCACTTTCTCTGACATGATGCTCCCTTGCTACAGGCCCAGAAATGACAGAGCCATGTGGCAGTGGACTAAAACCACAGCCACATAAACCTCTTTGTCACAGCAGCAGCAAGCTGGTAACTCGGTATCATTATCCACTTCTGGATAATGTAAGTCTTATTTTTTAAACATAACTGTCATGTTTTATGTCTGTGGCCGCCAGGCCTCATGAGTTTGAATTGTGCATTTGTGATTGGTTCAATGTCTAGTGCTTGGATTGATGGTGTCAGTGCTCCACCCACAAAGGGGTGGAGCCAGGACGTGATGTAATGGCAGGGAGAAGGCGTGTCTTGCTCTTTTGCTGGTTTCTGTCTTGCCGTTTGCAGCCACCATGAACTGCGGCCCAGCCATGCCGGCCTGCCTTGGAGCCAACTGAGTTTGGACTGAAACCTCCAAAAACTGTAAGAAATAAACCTTTCCTTTCCCAACTTTGGGCTTCAAGTATTTTGTCTCAGCGACTAGTAAAAAGTAACTAAGAAAATAACTTAGATAAAAGTGTTTTCCTTGAACCTAGTAATCAAATTGTTTTTCTTAAGCATAGAGATACCATCCTCAACTCAGTGAAATACCCAAGGGCACTTCTGCACCTGTGACCCATCCTACCGTGCACCCATGTTCTAGTCTAATCACCCTCCATCTGACCGGATAGTCCTCTGCGAACATCAGTAAACCAGGCTGTAATTCCCACCATGACTGGAGACCTCAATGATGCCCCAGCTCAGCTCCAGGTGACCCAGACTACTGCTCAACATGTTCTTCAGATCTTCTCTCTCTGCTGCTTCCAGCAGTCCTCCGGCCAAGACGCAGTTAGGATCACCTCAGTTTCCTGTTTTGTTTTGTTTCTCCCTCAAATCCTCTTCTCTGTCCTTTCTAGTGTCCCTTTAGTTTCAGTTTTGGAAGACAAAGCCTGGAGTCCATGTCCCTTAAACACCTTGAGAGAAAGTAGTAATCTTGTTTACTGATCTTCATTTCTGGCCCCTGAATATTTCCCTGGACTCTTACGATCTTAAATGTCCCATAATAAAAGTGATGGTTAAATTTTATGTAACATTTTTGGTGCTTTGAGATACACGGCTCTGGGAATTGAATGCATTAAAAGTTAATGGAAACCAAAATCACTTCAGCTCTTTTAAAGGATGTGATCCTTTAAGTAAGATCCTTCTTACTTAAATTGGCTCTTCTTGTTTCACTTGTTGCCAAAATTTTGATAAGACAGTTTTTAAGGTCTACTTAATTTTCCCTGGGTAATTGTACATCAGTTTTATAATAAATCTCATAATTGAAATAAATAGCAATGCAGTAAAGAAAGAGTTAATAACTTTATTTCAACACGATGAGGGCATAAATAGATTTTTCTTGGTTTTGTTTTTGGTTTTTTTGGACAGTGTCGTAGTGCAATTACAGTTACTATTGCAGGATTTAAAGCAGGCATTCAAGTTGAGTCATTTATTAACTACATACACTTGAGGTTGGAATCTTAATCTCTGTAAGCTTTAGCTTGTGCATCTATAAAAGTGTCTAATAATAATATACCTACCACATACTATCATAGGAGCATTAAATTATATCATAAGCACTTAGGTGCCTAATTAAATTTTATTTTTTATTTACTATATTTTTTGACTTTAGAAATATTTCAAATGATGAACCAAGTTAGTGCACAATCCCCTCTTTCTTTAAAAATTTCTCTATAAAGCCACATTTGATTTCCAAGCCCTAAATTTATATTTAAATTTATAAAAATTGTTGTTAAGTCTTATTTTACTTCTCAGTTTGCTCCTAATATTCATGCAAAATTACAAAAGGCTGAATTTGGCCCTCAAGCCCCACATGGAGAGTTTCTTAATATGGCTTTCCGTGTTTTCAACAACAGAGAGAAAACTCAAAAGGATGAAAAAGAGGCACAAAAAAAGAAACTTGTTAAATATCAATCTGATCTTTTAGCAGTGGCAGTTGGGGCTGCCAGGACAGGAAAACCGAGGCTCCTGGGCAACCTTCCCCTTGTTTTCTGCTGGAAAGATTTAGTAGAACTTGGCACAGGGAGGGTAGATCAGGAACCATTAGGATGGAGGAATGCCCATGACATGGTGAGAGTACAAAACTGAGAGAGATGCTCAGTTCTGGGCCGGGAGGTGGAGGGCTGTCCCAGAGCTATATATACCTACCAGGAAGACCTATAACACCGAGGTCTTCCTGAGCTGGGATAGTAGTTTCAGACACTAGGACGGTTCGGCTGACAGGGATTTGCAGAATAGTGTCCCACTCTAAAGGGTTTAGGGACTAAAACACTTCCAAATGTTTGTTCTGGGCCTCTGTGTTTGAACACCTGAGCTCTGCCTGTATAACTTACCCCACTCCTCACTGTGAGATCTATGACTACAGATTACAAGAGACACTGGTATTGAGATTCAAATAAGTAACATAAAGAGCCTAGTGCAGTACTCAGAACATTCAGCTGAGATCCAGGTCATTGTCTAACAGGAGAAGCAAACTAATTCTAGAGGAAAGAGTACTGCAGAGAAATCCTATTGAAACTTAAAAAGTTTCCAAAAGATCAAGTTTGTTTTCAAATAAATCAGCTACCTGACAGGAAAAAAAATTCTTTGAAATAGGCTAAGAAAATTACACATAATATTAACAAATGTGGCATGTAATTAAAATTAGTAGGCATGTGAAAAAAACCTGGAAAATGTGAACACAGAAGAAAAAAACTCAATGGCATCGGAACAAGAATGCCCAGGTGACAAAAATAAGAGATAATGCCATTTAAAAGTCATTAAAAATACATTCAACTGTTTAAAAACAGAAAATAATGAAGAAACAAATTAAAATGTCATTAAATTTAAAGATACAAGCCAGATGTTATACACCTATAATCCCAGCACTCAGGAGGCTGAGATAGAAGAATCTCATCAAGTTCAAGACCAGCCTGAGTTACCGTGTAGAAAATTTAAAAACAGCATGAACTATATAATAAGTTCCTGTCTCATAAATAAAGGACAACGTACCAAAATGTGTAAGTCATAGGAACAGAATAGTGCAAAAGAAAACTTAAGACTTTAAATTACTGTTACAGAGATTTAATATTAATAAGCTAAGTTTCTCACTTCATAAACTAGAAAAACAACAATAATAAATAGATGGCAATAATAAAAATAAGAGCTAAAAGTAAATGAAATTTTAAAATGGAAATAACAAAATTCTACAAATTGCTGCAGCAAATAGAAGTAGATATTTTATGAGTTTGTAAGCCTACTAACTAAATCAGACAAAAGC